ACAGCTCAAGGAACTCAAGGGTCCACTGCCCTGATAAGTACCATCTCTCTAGAGAAGTAACTCTTGGCTCTGTCATTTATGTATAGTGGGAACATGGGGATGACGCAGTTTCACAAGTGACTGTGAAGCACTGCATTTTCTACATTAATCATAATGCTATTCACACCGAAAAATGTGAGACACTCTGCTTCTGAAATGGGTAAGAGCGAGAGGTTGTGAAATCCTCTCCAGATATCGTCAAACATTAGCATGTTCTCAGCTGTCTGGAATGCTGTATATACTGTCCTGACCTGAAGCAAGGATGAGAAACCATGTGTAAGGCATTTGCTCCATTACCCAAGGAATCCATCTCAGTCAGATGGAGTGTCTTTCTGGTGGTCTGCTTCTGTCACCACATCCTAAAAACATGGGTAGACAGATTTTCACAAATTTGGAGAATGTAACGAAGGGGGCTGGACGTAAAATACAATTTTCATGGTGTATATATTTACTTGAAGAGCTGGCAATTCATCCATCAGAGATGGGTAATATACACTAGAGATGTTTTACACATTATGGGGTGTGCTCCAAAGCAAACAGTAACCTAATGAGACTAGGATATTTATCTAACAATAGCTATTCTCTCAGGAGGTTCAGACAGGAAAGAATCTGCCAGCAATGCGGAAGAATCGGGTATGATCCCTGGATTGGGAAGATCCTCTGGAGAAGGGAATGGCAACCTACTCCAATATTCTTGCCTGGAGAATTCCATGGACAGAGGAGCAGCCTGGTGGGCTACAGTCCATGGGGTCACAAAGAGTCAGACACCACTGAGTGACTAAAACACACACACACATACACACACACACGTTCTCTCAGGCAAGAAGGAGCTGGCCAGCTTTAAAGGGCAGAATTGCCGCAGTTCGGAAGGAAAGAGATTACTGGTTCAGTGTACACTATTACAAGATAGCAATATGAAAGCAGGTGAAGAGTGCTAGCCAGCATCACTGAGCACCCATACGGCTCAGCTCAGAGGTCAGCAAGATGAGCATCAGAAAACACACCTCCCTCCCTGATGGAGGACACGGCCTAACACAGAACAGGAAAATGCTCTGATAATCATGCTACAACTGGGCAAGGGCTCACCTGGAAGTGTGTGTGCATGTGTGCTGTATGTGCATGTGTCTGCACACGAGGGAAGGAGGGAGGGACAGACGGCAGGTAAGCCAGCCAGGGAGAGCCCTGAGCCTCAGGAATACAAATGAGAAAACAGTTTCTGCTTCTGCCTAGAGGGATGGAGTGGTCAGGGAGTTTCCGTGGGTGATGATAAACAACTTTGAAAGGCCAAGCACTGACCAGGTGAAGAAGGAAAAGAAAGGGATTCCAAACAGGGGTGGAGACATGAGCAAAGAATAAGGAAGTAATGGGTTTAGGAGAAAAACTCGTAATCCAGGGACAGATGGCATGTGCATGTACCTATATGCATACATATTCAGAGATACAAAAGTAGTAATGTCTGTGCTTGTTTGCATACATACATGTACCTGTGTACACACACATATATGTTGTAGCCAACTGCTGTGGCCCTATCCACCCCTTTGCACCCGCACACCTGAGAGCACACACTCAGCTGCCTGCACCTGTATTCTTTCTCTTAGAGGTCACTTTGCCACCTGAGAAGCAGCTCAAAAGGGGACCCAATCAACTCCCCCACTGGAGCAGACAGAAGGTGATGCAAACATAACTCATCTCTCTCACTGTCGGGCAGGAAATTCTGAGGCATGACTTCCTTTGGCTTCCCAAGTCTGCCAGCAGGGGTGAACTCTGGTCAGGCACAGTGATCCACACTTGGTCACATACGCTCAGCTAGTTGCCTTCCCCTTCTTATCTCATCTCTGCTTTCCTCTGCCAGTATCCTCCATCTCCCATGAGACTCCCTACACCCCAACCTTTGCTGCAGGGTCTGTTTCTGGGGGAATCCAGAGTTAGACATGTAAATGTGTGTCTGTATTTATATTTATAGGCATGCTTATATAGATGTGGATATGTGTGTGTGGAGAGATACACCCATAGATACAGACATTTATGCATGCAAATATATATGCACACAAACACCACATATATACCCAAATGCATCGATGTGTTTCTGTCTGTCTATTTATAGTACCATTGTTTTCCTTTTTACCAAAGTATAGCAGATAATCATACACAGTCTTCTTTTCAAACTGGGGGACCTGCAGCCTCCAGGGGCATACTCTCCCTGTAACCTCCTCAGTGGACCACCCAGCCTCTCACAGGTCCTGTCCGAAGCCCTTGTCCAGTTTCACCCCCTTAGTCCCCGCACTGTCCACAGCAAGGTGTCCGAGCCCATGGCCAGGCAGAACCTTCACACTCTGAGTCTCATGGGGCCAGGGTCATGCTGCACATTTGCAATACTGCCTTCTAAAGCAAACATCTGTCCAGTCGCCAGTCTCAGGACAGGGCCATCTGCTGCCAAGACATTGCCTCTCTCTCTCTCTTATTTTTTTTTAGCATACTACATCAAAAGATAGCAAAATAAAAGCATATTAAAAACCAAATTACTTTCAAAACAAGCTGCAAAAAAGAAAGCTTATGCCTCAAACTTGTGTATTCACAAAAAGAAAAACTGCTCTTTTGACTCTACCTATACCCAAGCCATTGTTCTTGCCTGGAGAATCCCAGGGACGGAGGAACCTGGTGGGCTGCCGTCCGTGGGGTCGCACAGAGTCGGACACGACTGAAGCGACTTAGCAGCAGCAGCAGCAGCATACCCAAGCCAACTCATAAATGTCCTGTCCCCAAGCAAGAGCTCCATCTCCTCTTCTCCTTCCCTTATTAACTCACAGGCTGACACCAGGGACAGTCAAGGCCATTAGCTGTCCCTTATGTGCCAAGGGTGGTAACATGGAGAACTGGAAAGAATATAGGATTAGGAATACAGAAACATAGGAGATTAGAATATATAGGGATATAGAAAATGATATAGAATATAGATCTGGAGGAACTCATCAGAAGGAAAGCCTGGGCAAGCAACTACTTCTTTGGATTTTTCTTTCTTCAACTGAAAATAAAAGCAGTACTTACAGGGGCCTGAATTTGGCCCTCTGGTGTATTTCATTGATCATGCAGTGTCTTTATAAACACACAAAGTCTGAAGACCTTGAGTGCATGCGTATATGACCCTTTACATATAATCTCTAAACTCAATTCCATTCCCAACATCAGATAACTTTGTGTGACTGTCATTGGTGCAACTGTGGGAGCCTCCCATCCTCCCTGCCACCTTCTAAATTTTCTCCCCAAGGAGGCTCAGTTGCCTAAACTTGGCCCACCTTTATGGAAAGAATAATTCATTCAAATTTAAAGTTTCCTACTGAAGTTTGCCTTGTTTTTCCTCAATCTACCCAAAAGAATGAGATGAAAATAATTTATTTAATTATCAGAAAACTTTACAGCTACCAATGTGGAAGAAATAAAGTTGTGAAATGGGCAGTATTTAGTGGCAAACAGAAATTATTAAGAGAAAAAAAGAGCTATTTAGTCATAATTATCAAGAAAGGAAAAACATGGAAGTTGAGTCTGAATATGCAAAATAGTGTTCATCTTCATCAATTAGCAACTTCTGTGTTTTTACATATTCTTATAAGGTATTTTCTATACCTTATATTACTTATTTATATTTACACATACATGGTATATAATGTACATATACCTTATATTACATATTTATTTTTACATCTATATCTATATCTACATCTGTATCTATCTATAGGTATAGATATAAATATATATCTATCTATAGATATAAACACTATATATCTATAGGTGTAGATATAAATATCCTGTGTCTCCTTCCTTCTCTCTCCTTCCTGTCCTTCCCCTTGCAAAAACTATAACCCTTGGTCATGCTTACCTAATCTGGACTCTCTAAGTTGTATGTGCATGTGTGCTATAGAAGGAGGAAATATTTTGGAAAAGACATGTAGAGAAATGACAAATACTATGATTTATGATGATCCACATATGATTCTGCTTTGGTGAAGTTAGGATGCTGAAGTTCCCCATGTATTGTTTTTTTTTAATATTCTGAGATGAGTACTGGTGTTCTTTACTGCAAAAGATTAAAAGCTTAAAAAACTTATGGTTGTACTAACTCCCTACTGTAAATAACTTGGAGCAGTTGATTAAAACTAGAGTCCCCATCATCATCAATACCACCACCATCATTGGTGATTTTCTTCCAATTTTAAAATACATTAATAAAAAATATCCCTTTAAAACTATAACATATGTTATATGTTTTTTCATTCCTAAGCACTATGAAGATATCCTTAGTTTGTGAATTACAAATCAACAGTGCTTAAAAAGGCAAGTCTAAGGCTTTGTCTCACTAATCCCTTCTCTGCCCTGAATCCACGGTTTAGGGGTCATTTCCTCCTGTCCATTCTCCTCAGTATGATTGACCAATCCTCAAAAGCAGCTTCTCTCCAAAGCAAGCTACATTTATCTCCATCTGCTTCCCATTTGACCTCACTAAAGAACTCAACAGCTGCCTAAGCAAGAAGTTTCTCTGGCCCAAAGAATGGAGAATGGCCCAACGAAAGCAGGTGAAGGAAAATCAACCCCTCTCCCTCACTCTTTAGACCAGTGGTTCTCGATCAGGCATGATCATGTTCTCCAGGACACGTGTGGCAATGTCTGCAGACACTGTTGCTGGTCACAACTGAGAGGGTGAGTGCTCCTAAAATCCAATGCGTAGAGACCAAGGATCCTGCTAAACATCCTACGAGGCACAGGACAGCTGCTACCTGTGAACTACCCAGCCCAGAGTATTAACACTGCCAAGGCTGAGATACCCACCTTAGAGTGCTGAGCTTTTTCCTTGGTTCCACATCAGGAGGGAGAGGAGAAACTATAAAGAGACTTAGGGCTGAAGTTGGTGAGCTGAAGGCATAGTTGACCAAAAGGAATACCTTGGGAACATCCAAGGCAGTACTTACAACACAGGAACACTTGATGCACTTGTCTCCTTCTGGCTGAAATTCCTCCCCTTCTCGGTACTGCACCCCCTCAAACACACAGCCTGGAAAGCAAAGCAGAGCTTCAAATCAGGGCCACAGTTTTGATTCAGCTTGACATTATATCCTTCTAGCCACTGAGCAACCATCCCCACCTCCACCCCCAACTTGTACAGCATAATCTTCGATCAGAGGACAAGACTGCTTCAAAGTAAAAAAAAAGAAAAGAAAAAAACCTGTAGAATACAAAAAATCAACATGGACCCAGAAACCTGAAGATGCTAGAAAGCAAACAAAATGGTGGAAGTCAGGTCGGCCTGAGCAGCAGCAGTACAAGGTTCCGAGCCTGCAGAGTCTGAGGAGCTCCCCAGGCCACCCCCGTCACAGCCAGGGAGCCAAATTCCAGAGGCGCTGGAAGAGGCAGAGAGACGGTCAAGCCAGAGGGGTCAAGGATGAGCTTAGCAGCAAGCGACACGAAGCACTGCCACCTGAAGAGTAGCCAGAAGTGGCCAGCTTCTGCCAGACCCTTCGCACTCCTGACCTCGCCGTATCTTCAGTGAGCAGACAGAGCACGGACTCTGATCACTGCCCCTGCAGGTGAGGAACACGCGGCCCAGAGAGAGGAAGGAACTCATCTGGCTGGCAGCGCTGGGCTCTAACTCAGCTCCAGCCCACTGGCCATACCACACAAAGGGCCACACACCAAGATGAGAAAGGACAAAGGCGAGGCAGGAGGCACCACACAAGTTTTCAGTCCCACCCTGTGTGTTGTTGAAGGGACTAGGACGTCCCCAACAAGTTTGACTAAAAATAGGCCCAAGAGCCAGGAGGTGCCTCCTATCAGAAAGATGCCCAGCTCTCTGCTCTATTCATTAAGTGATGTCACAGATGACTAGAAGAACAGGCTGGCCAGTGACCCTGCACCACATGGGCCAGCTAGCAGCAAAGCCTCCTTCCTCAGGACTGTCCTCACCAGCTGCTTTGCCAGAATAGCTGAGGTCACTTTCCACAGATACACAGTGAGGAAAGCGGCACTTCCAATGGGGAAACTCAGCAAAGAAGGCTCTTGTGAAAAACTGACTCACGCCCCCGAGAACAGGTGTTCAAGGCCTGTCCACTAAAGTCGTCAACACGCATGCTCAGTCATGGATGACTTTTTGTGGCTCCATGGACTGTATGTAGCCCACTAGGCTTCTCTGTCCATCGAATTTTTCAGGCAAGAATACTGGTTTGGGTTGCTATTTCCTCCTCAAGGGGATCTTCTTGACCCAGGGATTGAGCCCACATCTCCTGCATTGACAGGTGGATTCTTTACCACTATGCCACCTGGGAAACCCAAAGTTGTCAACAGAACCCACCAAACTCTCAAAGCAGCTGGTTCCTGACAAAAGGAACATCTGAACATATGAGCATTGCCCATAACCACCCAATCAAGCCCCTGGACCTATTCATTTTAAAGCTAGATATGAAGCCTTTTGTTCAACTGAAATGCATGGAGACAAACGTTACTGAAGCTGAACAGCTGGGTGAACTGTGGCTTTAAGATCTTTCTGATGCCCACAGCCAGAGCCAAGGGGAGGAGCCAGAGCCACTCTCCTGCTGTTCCCTTTGATCCAGGAGACCTGATAAGTGTGGTGCCCTCCTTGTGGCCATATCTCAGCACTGTTAATAATGGCAGGTGTCCAGTCATCTCTTCTCAAAACCCATTTCCAACAAAGGGTCTTCAATGCTTTCATATATGTTTGCACCACTGGTTCTGTCATACAGATTGCCAGACAAGTTAACTGCACAATCCACATAATAACTTAAATAATGAATTTTTAAATGAAAACTGTTGCAAACTGTTCCCTTCACAGCCCATCCTCCTTGAGCAAAGAGTCAGACGAGAAAAGAAGGAGCAGACAACTAAGAATGTCCTGCAATCTGTTTCAGGAAGAAACTGACCACAAGCTGTACGTGTTTGTCATTATGTGGAATACCATTCCATGATCAATGACAGATGCCAGTCCTTCTGAATTACAAGGAGAATACCCCAAGGCCTCAATGGACTGTCCCTCTCTAGACTTGGCTGAGGCCTCCTTCCCAAGACACAGGATAATGCCGTTTGGATGCGGCCAGGTCTGAGTCTTCTGATTTTCATGCCAAAGGTTGGTCTTTGAAATTAAGGAGAGAGAATAAAGTTGATTCTTAACCCCAGAACCAAAGGCAGAGTGCCTATCCAGATGTCAGGGAACTAGTGTTTTTTTACCTTTTTAGTTTATATGGGGGTATAGCCGATTAATAATGCTGTAATAGTTTCAGGTGCATAGAAAAGCAACTCAGCCATATATATGTATACACACACACACACACACACACACACAGATCCATTCCCCTCTAAACTCCCTCCCATCCGGGCTGACTGGCAAGTTAACTTTTAGAGATTTGCTTTCCAGGGCATCTAGACCCAAGTTGAATAATTATCATGGTGTGGGGTAGGGGAGGTAGTACAGTATGGTGGCCAGAAAAGAAAAGAGGCCTGGGACCCCAACCCCACCTTTGGACTTATCCTCATTGAGTCAAATTTCTGCCTGTGTGAACTAATAACAGTACTTCATCCTTACTGAAATGGTGGTGAAGACTTAACATTACAATATGTGCAATTACAGAGCTCAGCCTTTCCTTCCTGGGAACTCAACTAAAAAACAAAATGAGAGAAGTAATTGCTCAAATATGATAACTTCAGCTGCTGGAATAAATTCATTCTGTTTCTATATGCGCACTTTCAAAGGCAGTCTAAAAATATGACTATCTCCTAAGTGAAAAGGAATGTTATATATGCCGAGTTGATTCTGCACCAATAAAGCGGCAGTCTACTCAACTCAACTGAATTCGTATTTAAGAGCTTTGATATCTTTTAAATCTCTATGGCATATAAAATTTGCTCTCTTATCAATCTCAAGAGTTTCACCCTCCAAGATTCTGATGGAATTGGTGTGGGATGCAGCCTGGGCATCAAGGTTTATTTCTTAAAACTTCCCAGGTGATTTTCATGTGCAGCCTAGAGAATGACTGAGCTAACTTAATAAAGATCCTTTAGGCATTTTAGAATATGGTTACATGATGCAAAGCACTCAGTGCATTCAGAGGGGAATGGTACTCAAGCAAACTCTGTTTGATAGATACAAAATAACTGAGTTATGGAAAGAATTATTTTACTTTCAACTTTCTGGCCTTCACTTAAGCTTATCCAGTAATACAAGCTTAACAGAAATTGCAGTGTGAAAAGGAAGCTTGGCTCAATAAAGACTGTCCAGGGAACTCAGGAAGGTTAGGAGCAGTGGAGAGAGCTTGTCCTCACTGTCATTCAAAGATGAGGGAAGGCTGGACCCTGGAAGGGACTCAGGTCTGGGAGCACGGCAGACTGTGTGGAGGGAAACGGCAGGAAGGGAAGGGACAGGGGCTCATCTTCATAGAGCATCCCATGACAGTGCCTTCGCCATTTCCCGGGAAGGCTCACAGAACAGAAGGCCCTTTGGAGATTAACTTCAAAAGCAAAGAGAAGTAGTTGTGAGTATCGCCTCCAGTGAGGAAAAGCACTCAGAGTAAAACCCAAAATGTAGAACATCTGTTGAAGAGTATGGGCCAGGGGCTTAAGGGATCAGAAAAAAATCTCTCACCTCAAAATCCCCGGGCTTGTACCTAAGGGCAAGAAAAGAGGCAGGAGGCCTTTGTAATCCTGTTCGGAGAAGTAAGAGGAAACACTCCAGCCACTGAAAAGGAAAGATCACTTTGCTGTCAGCTGGGCCCTGGGGCCCTCTAAAAAGACAGCGGTTCCCAGTCGCTGCACCACGCAGAAAACCGAGACCAGCAAAGCCTTAAGCTAAATCCACTTAGGGACCCAGCTCTCAGTGTTCAGAAAACATCTGGTCGCCTCATCACCAAAGCGAGCCCCGGCCAAGGTATTGCAATATGAAGCAGTAAAAAGACATTTCTGGAAGCAAGGGAAAGCCACAACCTTTCCTTCCAAAATAAGCGTTACCTGTGGCCCTGTGGAGTGGAAAGCAGGCCTCCGAAGTCCGGAGCATCCTTGCCAAGACCTACAGCACATTGCAGTCATCCCAGGCCCGCCAGAGTCCAGCCGGACATTTCTATGCAAAGGAGTTTGCTCTCCTCACCCATTAGGTACACAGACATAAAGGGAGAAAAATTCCAGTCGGGAGTGGGAAAATCATGCGTGATTGAGAGAACCCCGAAGAATTTCAACAGTGCTGCACTGTACCGGGGAGCCACACTGCCTTTCCCTTTCTGCGAGGTTACCTGGACACGTGGGGCAGCATGTTTCCAGATGCTTGGAGGGGTTTTTACAATGAACGACACATCGCACCTCAGACTCTGTGACAACGCCTTCCTGAAAAACAGAATGCCACAATCGACGTCAGCCCCAGCATTCCCACTGAGATTTACTCACTTCTGGAAAGTAACCAAAGTAGTAGGATAAGAACTCAAACACGAAAAGTGCAAAGGGGGATAGGCGTCGGGTCCATAGGTCCATGGCACAAACGAGGTCTGATGACTCCAGCTTGTCCATTTCAAAGTGCACATCTTGTCACCTGTCCTCTTCCCTGTTCTGGCTCTTTCCCTTTGACTCTGATTTCTTCCTTTCTTTCTTTTAAATCTAGTATTTAAGACTTCCTTGCTGTCAGTCAGTAGCTGACAGAGTCTAGCTGTTCATTCACAACTGTTTTAGTTTTTCAACATGTCCTATATGATCTATAATTGTTATTACACTTTAAGCCATTAATTATAAGCCACAGAGGACAAACATAATATCCCAGACTGGCATCTGGAGACCCAAATCCTCACCACCCTTCCAGGAATAACTAAACACCAGCTCTGCAATTGTAGATGTTTCTCTGGGCTTCCCAGAGAGCCTGGCTCTCACTCAGCAAATGAAGAGATCAGATAAAACTATTTTAAAGATCATACTATGTTATGTTAAAATAGAGACTTTCAGTCTTAATAGCAAAATCAAGGGACTCATTTGCAACTGATCTTTTGACTCTAGTACTTTAATATTTATTGAAACATTTTTTTATTCAATTTTCAGAGTTGGTCTTTGAAGGATTTTCTCTATATTCTCTACCCACTTTATAAAATGGTTTTGTGTGTTTATTAATTTTCTTTTGAGGGGAGTGGTAACAAAAGGTAAAACACTATGTAACAATCTGACAACTAGATAATTTTCTTCATCGAGCCTGCTACTATATCATCTCAATCCAACAAAGAAAGTTACATCCTAAATGTCTTCACATCTGTCAGACCTGAGGCTTCCACTACCAAGTAATTTATTATGGTCTATATCACATCTGCAAAGGAAAAAATGTCTAAATTCCAGCAATATACAACATCACAAAAGGAACTGGCCTTTAGTTATATAACTTAAGCAATGCAAAAAGTCCAGGATCAAATTCCCTTTAGTATCTGCAATGCAGATGCAAGATTCAGGTTACTCCCCAGCATGAATTTCCTGTCTCTGATCTTCAGATTTTCCTCTTCCAGTAATACACTAAAAGTGGAAAATAAAGGTAAATTTTCCACCATCAAACTCCTTTACTAAGAAGACATAAGAAATAAGCTAGAATTCAACTCAAGTGGAAATAAACCGGATCATTAGACTAGCTGTTATTGGTCTGGTACCAAATTGTACTCAGTATACGCAGCCTCTACCAGAAGTGTTTTAAATGACACTGTTGCTCATTCTCACAACCACTCTATGAGGTAGTACTATCCTCATTTTATGGGCATGAACGTGAAGTCTGGAGAGTTTAAGTAACAAGTTATGTGAATGGCAACAGCCATATTTTACTCACTACACTACACTCTCTCTTCTGTTACTGACTCTGTGTCCTGAGAAGAAAGATCTTGGAGAGAGAGGTTGCAATTGTGTCCTTCAGCAGAGGAGCATCTTACATGAAGACTTCCCTGATGGGTACCAATAAACAGTCATTTCTTGCATTCATAGATGAGGTCTCCTTCCCTAAAGAAGGAAGAAAGTAAGCAGGAGTGGGAAGGTACTACCTAAGAGAAGGAGAAGCTTTTTGTAACTAACTTAACAGAGGTCTGCCTTTATGGTGATTGAGTAAAATGATATTTACTCAGCAGGAGTGGCTGCTGGCTCAGCAGCAGGTGGCTCAGCAGGAAAGAATCTGCCTACAAGGTAGAAGAACCAGGTTCAATCCCTGAGTTGGGAAGATCCCCTGGAGGAGGGCATGGCAACCTACTCAAGTACTCTTGCCTGGAGAATCTCATGGACAAAGAAGCCTGGCAGGCTGCAGTCCTTAGGGTCACACAGGGTCAGACACAACTGAAGCGACTAAGCAGCAGCAACAGGGCTTAGGCAAAGCATTATGAAAGGAGAAAAATTAAAAGGCAAAGTTCATCCTTGGTAGTGAACATCCCCTCTCTGGGCTTCATTCTAAAGTTCAGCACTTCCTGACTCCTGGGTCTGTTGGTCTTTAAGAGCTCTTTCAATAATAATTTGATATTCCTATATATTCTCTCTGGGTCCTGGTGAGTGACTAGTAACCAAAGCTGATAAGCAATGGGATTTTCAGTGCTCACAAATGATGATGGCTTGATATGTTATTCATTCAAGAGAATATTCCCTCCCAGATAATACTGGTTTTCATCTAATTCAAACAATGGCAACAAAATTCACCACTGGTTCATGCAACTTGAGGATCTTCAAGACCTCTGACTATTGTATACAAATGTTATAGCCTACTCCAAAAGGCAAGCGGCTGTTGCTTTCAGAGTGTCCCTGTCAAAAATTGGAAATTGCATCAGTCAAGAAGCAGGGTGGTGATGGAGTGGGGCAAATTTTAGAATGAGTGTGGGCTTTGATGTTGTTAAAAGTCATTGTCGTCATCATTTGGTTCCATGAAGCTGACTGAATGTATAACCCAGAGAAAAAATTCAACAAATATTTACTGAATCAATTAATCTATTGTTCATATCTGTTCTACCTACTGCTTATTTTCATAAATAATTCTGATTACTACATAAATAAATTGAATATTCAACTGAATAAGTAACTGAAGATCTTATGAGTGAACATGCCCACTGTGGGCTTATCATAACATGATTCTATAAGATTCAGATTTCGATAAGCTAAATGTCAATATACTTGAGATAAGATCAGAGAGAAATATGCAGTATTATACTAAGTGCCTTCTCCTTTAAATGCAACAGCATATCCTTGGACAGCGAAATGAACCTGGGGTAAAATGATTTAACAGCATCTTGTCTACAGAGAAAAAATTTTAAATTATGTCAAAATTAGATGAGTATTTTTTAACAGAGTATTTCTTTAAAGAAAATAAGTTAGAATATTTTGATTCTTCATTTCCCCTTTAGTTTATCTTGCCTGTGTTTAAGACGTGTAATGATTAGAGTCACATGGAAACAGTGCTCTTTTCAGAGTTCAGCACCAGGCAACAGTGGGCTCCTTAGGAGCTGAACTGGTGGTTCTTAAATCAGTTGGGTTGAAATCATGGCGATCACAATGTACTAATTGCTTTGGTTAAAACAGTTTACAGACTGGCTTCAGTTCAAAATGTTTCTAAATTTAAAAAAAAAGAAAAAGGAAAACATATATCCTCTAACAATACCTCTTTCTGCTAACAAGAATTTGTGTTTTGCAAAGCTGACTCAACAGGAAGACATGAATTTTCCCCAAGGACATATGCATCTTCTCGGAGCTTTTCCAGGCACAATTTAACAATAGTGAACAATTCTGCTGTGTGCTTCTGGAAATAAGACGCATGCAATAACTATCCTGTATCTGTCTTGTTATGGTGAATGTCACAATAAATATAGACAAGGATAGAGTTGGTTTTTCATTCGTTTCTCATTTTTTGCTTGTTTCTTTGGAGTTTTGTTCTGTGTTTGTTCTGTGTTCTGGAAAGGGTTTCTGAAAAGGACTTTATGGATTTCTTGTCACTGGAAAGTAAAATAGATGGACTTTACCTGGCACTGGCGCAGGATACAGGGTTCAGCAGGATTCTTCCATTTGAAGGAGCTGTTATAGGTACTTCCATCATAGGTACAACCTAGATGAAACACAGAGGCAGAAAGAAAGGCCAAGAATGAATGTGAGTTTCATTTATCTTAGAAGCAAAAGAAGTTATGTCTTCTAAGCCAGAACAAGTGATCGTAGGAAACACCATGCTCCTTGGCTATTTTCCTCTAAACACAACTAAGCCTTCTAAGTATCCACTTGGCTTTTACTTACATTAATTCTTTGACTACCAAAAAGATTAACCTCACAGATTATATTTTCAAATGGAAAACCATGGATTGATGAACTCTTTAAGCCAAAATACATAACCTCGTGACTTTATTTATACCTAGTAAGTATGAAGAGGACCAGGACTCAAAACATCACTGTGAAAGGGGATTTTACACAAGACTAAATGAACTTAAGATTGCTAAAGGTCAAGAGGGAAATGTAAAACACGGCAAGAAGCAAAAGCAAGAAAATTAAATATAGAAAATGATTGCAAAATTCTATATCCATTTGATTCCTGACAAGCTACTGTCTTCAACAGATGAAACCTTCCAAGTCTTGCCTCCAGCTTTAAGAGCCATGATTTCATTTTTCACTTTGATTTTACTTGTAAGTGGTGAACTAGATTAAGGAAATCTGAAACTAGACGATGTATGGGTTATCCCACGTCAGTTCACTAGCCAAAACAGAAGTCATGCTCATTCACTGGCAAAAGCAGAAGTCAAAGGCCAGAGAGTCTCAAAAAAGGAAACAAGTTTAAGCCTCTGTAGAAAGAGCCAAAGAAATAATCGTGCAAGGATCACAACCTAGATCTTAATTTAGTTTGTCCAAATAACACCTTCTACCTTGTGAGTGACGTTTCAGGGGAAGACGAACCCAGCTATGTCTCTCGTAAATGCACACTGGATTCTCAGGAGCACAGCAGGCAAATGGGATTCACCAGGTACAGCCCGACTGCTTAGCCCAAAGAGTACAGCAGTAGGGATACACAGACGGGACAACGCAGATATAAAAGGGTCTGCCTCTGTTCCGGTGACTGGCTTCTGTCAACCCACTCCACCTCAATTCACAGTGTTTCTTATCCAAGATACAAAGAGAAGACGCACTTCCTTCCCTGAATTCTTTTGGATACTGCAGTGGTAATTAAAAAAAAAAGAAAAAGAAAACCTTCAATACCAACAGAATAATAAAGACTTAAGAAAACTTCAATAGACACTTTCATAAACTCGGAACCATTATTCAAATTCCCAGAGAATTATAAATGATTGAAAAGAGCTCAATAACACTCTTCTCTCTAGTTCCTACAAATCAAATTACCAAAGTACACAGCTGATTGGAAACATATTAGGGAAACGCTTTCACTATATATTTTTTAATTTCCTTTGCATGAAGTGTTACAGTGATAAAATATTCAACCACAGGGACGCCTAGCACACTGCAAATACTTAACGCCAAATCCAGAATGAATACAGTAAATTTTCAACAATGAAAACCAATATAAAGCTATTTGGGCTAGCATAAATCTTATGGAACAAACACACTTAACAATAGACGTGCCCTGTGCATGTCTGATTCACTACCACAGACTCACTCGGATAATAAATAACTTGTTCCGAGAGGTGGAGGTGGGGAAATCAGAGGACCAAATCCAATTCAAGTTAAGTCCAAGTAAATATGAAACGCCTGCCAAGTCTGCCAGTAGAGTTTCCAAATATGTTATACATTTTCATCCTCTGGATTAAAAAAAAAAACTAAAAGAGTGATTTTATGATTCTAATAGGGCAGGCAAAGAGATTGCCTTTTTTACTTCGAAGGAGGAAGTGCATTGTAAGCCCATATACACCAGGCAGGAACTGCAGGCCAAGAGACTGTTCCTGAACAATGCCAGGCCATAGGTAAAGGACTTCCAGGAGGAGGGCAGAAGTCTCTAGATTATTCCACCCAGTATGGGATAAAAGGTATTGGCACAGTGGTCCATAGTGCAGGGAACCCAGCCATGTTTTCTGCCTCAAATAACTCAAAATGAAGGCTGGCTCCTCCACCAGTTTAACATATGAAGACCAAGACCAAATTGTGACCAGCTTAACTGCCCTTGTTAACAAGTGAGTCTATCACATCTGAGTCCATATAATAGATATTCCCAAATGTTGGATGAGTCTGAATGATTGAATAGACTCAAAAATATCAGTATTAATCTCTTTCAAAAGTAAAAGCTATATTTTTTCATTCTTCACCTACCCTCAACAGCACTGGTTGGTTTTGGCAACTCCAGTAGACCAAGCATCCTAGGTCGATTTCAGATGCAAGGGATTCTTGGGAATCAGATACTTTTAAAAAGGGTATTTTTCACTGCTCTTTAGGTTCATGTTCTAAGATAAACATGCCATCTTAATGCAAGACACTAACATGAGCTATGTGAAGACTCACATATACATACAATCAAAAAGAGCCTCAGATTTACTCCAGAATTACTTCTTATTCTCTGTAAGGCAAACTTCCTTATAATAAAATCTCTTTTGCCACCAACTTAATACTGCTAGCAGGGCAGACTGGCAACATCTTGCCCCTCAAAACCCCAGAGGAGGAATATATTAAATATCTATTATTGGCCAGAGTAGAAAGAGACAAAAAAATTGTCCATCGTACATTAAGTAAGTGTTTCTCAAACCACTTCTAGTGACAGGTTTGTTTTGTTTTTGTTTTTCTAATTCAGTGTGGGCCAATACATTCATAAAATATAATAAAAATAGATTACTATAAAAATTAAATTTAAAAGACTACAGCAAAATATGATTTTTATTACTATATGTAACAGGTATACAATTACTTAGTAGAATCATGAGAAACATTTCTAGTGGCTTACTCTCAGATTCTGTACTTTTCTCAATGTAGATCAGCATTGTCATTTCTGGACCAATGGAAACCTACAGAGCACATTTTGAGTTGCACTGCATTGAGGGATGTGTCACGGGATGGGGAACAGCCCAAAGAAACAATCAAAAGATTTCAATCTTAGACATTTAGAACTAGAAGCCAAATAGCAGATAAAAAACTTTCTCTCCTTCATTCACATATAAGAAAATTTAAACAAACAAGATTAAAGTGATTTACTCAAAATTAGAAGGCATTAGGTGTGAAACTAACACTAAAACCTGGTCCTGTGTGAAATCCCCCTTTTCACATCCAGGTCTAAACTGGCAATATTATTTGGGCACTTTCTAATTCATAAGATCTTTTGTATTAAGGACTTAATGGCCCAGGGGGGGAAAAAAATCAACTCTGTCCTTTTACATTAAATGATAGAATATCCAGGAACTTAATGTAAGAGTGGACAAGCTGGGCAACAGACAAACGGTTAGCAACCAGTAAAGTCACTTTTCCTTTTCTTCAAATATTTTAAAATAAATGTTCAAGAAGGGGATTTATAAACACTTATTAATTTTCTTCTGGAGTTAAAAAGCCTTTCAGCCTCCAAGAGCATCATGAAAACCACCTATACAGTAGCAGGAAGAAGTGGTTATTTTCTGTAGTAGTTATTGTACTATTTTTAAACCAGCAGCTCTCAATCTAGCATGATTTTGCCTTCAACTTCAATATCCAACCAGAGGACTTTTCATAATGTTAGGAGATATTTTTAGATGTCACAGGCTGGGGATAAAGGTGCTTAAATGGTTTTACTGCACAGGAGTCAGAGATGCTGCTAACACTCCACAATGCACAACAAAGAATCAACCAGCTCACAACGTTAACTGTGCCAATGCTCAGAAACCCTGATCTAAACCATCACACAAAGCCCAAAATGGTTTTTCTTTCCAAAACTAAAATAGTACATAAACAAGCCTAAACTAGCTATATGGTACTTGTGCATTTATTTCAGCTTTTTATATTAAATATTTTCAGGGTGAGGAAGAATTTCAGAGCATTTTTTTAAACACATACACACTCTTGTAGAGAAGCTTAGCCCAGTCAGCTAGGAAGACAACATGGCAATGGAAAGAGTTCAATGTCAGTTTTAGTCCAGTCGCTCAGTCGTGTCAGACTCTTTGCGACCCCATGGACTGCAGCACGCCAGTTCTCCCTGTCCATCACCAACTCCCAGAGCCTACTCAAAGTCATGTCCATTGAGTCAGTGATGCCATCCAGCCATCTCATCCTCTGTCATCCCCTCCTCCTCCTGCCTTCAAGCTTTCTGAGCATCAGGGTCTTTTCAAATGAGGCAGTCTTCGCATCAGGTGGCCAAAGTATTAGAGTTTCAGCTTCAGCATCAGTCCTTCCAATGAACACCCAGGACTGATTTCCTTTAGGAGGAACTGGTTGGATCTCCTTGCAGTCCAAGGGACTCTTAAGAGTCTTCTCCAACACCACAGTTCAAAAGCATCAATTCTTCGGCTCTCAACTTTATAGTCCAACTCTCACATCCATACATGACTATGGGAAAAACCACAGCTTTGACTAGACGGACCTTTGTTGGCAAAGCAATGTCTCTGCTTTTTAATATGTTATCTAGGTTGAAGCACACAAATAAATTGAATCCACAAGTAAGTAATAAAACTCATTTCTCTTATTAGTTGTGGCCTTTTTTGGCAACCACATTATCCCAAGGGAGAGAGAATGCCACACATTTTCATCATTCTGTTACTAAAATAGCTGTTAAAAGTCATCAGGACCATAAACAAATAAAGCACTGGCTGCCTAATTAATCTTAGCTCCACCCAGTCTCATCCTTCTAGTTTTAATCCTCTCTTTTTTCACATTAACATTAGCCTATGGATCTTATCATTACCAACAACTTACCCCTGGCACCCAAGCGCCTCACTACATGGCCCCAAACTACCTTTCCAGTCTTCTCCCCTCATTCCTGGAACAAGGTATCTGGGGTTACCTGATCATAAGGAACTTGAATGCTTCTTTAAATAGGTTCAAGTTCTTCAACTAAGGCTATCTGACTCCTGTCTTCATCATCCCACTGAAACATCACTCTCTTCAGCTGCAGCTGCCTACATGTGTCCAATCCAAAGGGACACTCAGCCCTTATCTTAGAAG